CGGGGGCTGGAGTGACTGAGACGTGCACGGCCCCTGGCGCCCGCCCGGCAGCTGCACCCCTGGGCGAGGACAGGGAGCAATCAGGAGTCAGGGCGTCTCCGAGGCGTCCCATGCAAACCAGGTCTGGGAAGTGGGAGCAGCCAGCTGCGCCAGGAACGCTCAGGCTGAGGGAGCCGCACCTGCAAAGGCCCCCTCCGGGGGCAGGAAAGACACGTGTCTGAGCAGTAAGAGGCCCCTGTGGCTGCAGAAGGTCAGCAAGCGAGGAGAGGAGGAAGAGGTGAGGTTGGAGGGACCTGGAACAGGGAGAACCTAAAGGTCATAAAGGCAGTGAGGCTGTCATCTCCCTGTCTGCAAGGCCCCTATTTCTCCCCCCACACACACACACACACTGTTCTAAGGGAAGTGGAAAATGGAAAGGAATGAGGAAGTCCCAGACAATTCAAGATGGAATTATTCTAAGAGTTAACTTCAATTGAGCATTTGCTATGCAGTGTGCCTGAACCTTTACTTCTGACACTCGGGAACAGAGAGGCTAAGTAACTTGCCTGAGGTCACACAGTGAGGAAGTAGTCCAACCAAGAATCAGAGCCCGCACCCTGCCACTGCACCCCCAGCACGGCTTGTGCAGGAGAATCCCGGCCGCCAGGCAGGCAGTGGCTGCTGGGACGGCAGAGACCGGAGCTCAGGGCTTCAGTCTGCCAATGGCCCTCGTGGGGCAGCCCTCCGTCCGTAATCAATCCAAACCCTGGGAGTGGGCAAATGCGAGCCAAACAGGAAACCAGTGCCCTTGAGAGGACTGAAGATCGGACGAGAGTTAGCGAAGGGCTTTCACCCACCACTTCTGCCCTAGAACACACGGAGTCCAAGGTGCCAACCACAGCCACAGGCATGGTTTGTTGGTTAGGCTGGTGCCAGGGGACTTGCCACGTTAGTCCAAGTTCGACTGTGACACACAATGACTGTTATTTTGAGTGAATAATGTTCCAAATGTACAGGACTTGGCTCTGCAAGGTCTTGTTAACCGGCACCAACCACAAGCGAGCCAGCCAGCCAATATTTACCGAGTTGCCACCTGGAACAGAGCTCTGTGCTCTCCTGCATTTGGTGTTGGCAAAGCACCCAGGTAGCTGGGCTTTGCTGGAGCTCAGCGGGACCTTGCTATCGCCCTGCTCTCACACACACAACACGCACAGCACGTATTTCAGTGAGTCGAAAGAAGGAATGGTCCCATCCTACCAGATGCGGAGTGCGGGGAGGAGGAGACCACTGCGGGGCTCCCCCGCTGGAGCTTTGGCTCCTGAGTGTAAAGCAACTCCAAGCTGGGGTGATGGCTTCCGGAAAGGCACTCGCTCTGCGTCTGCTCCACTGAGTTAAGTGTTAAACTTGGGCTGGTCGTTAGCAGGTTTCTGGGACATGAGAGAATAGACTTTAAAGCCAGCCCAGCTCAAGGACGCCTCAGCATAGACTCCGGAGGCCGACCCTCACCGCACAGCCCTGTCCCCACCCCCCAGATAATGCTCCTCCAGGCCCAGCCACAGCTGAGTGGACGGGGAGGGTGGAAGCACCCCCACTCCGTGCCACACTGCTCCAGCCCAGCACTTGTCCCTGCTCCTCACACTAATCCTCACAGCCTCTCTGTGAGGTAGGCACACCCATCTCTGTCTTCAAGAAAACCACCACGGCTTAGGTAGGAGGAGTCACATGGCTGGTCAGCATCCCAGGGGAGATTTTATTATTATTATTTTTTTATTTCAGAGAGGAAGGGAGGGGGGGGGGAGAGAGAAACGTCAATGATGAGAGACTGTCATCGATCGGCTGCCTCCTGCACACACTCTACTGGGGATCAAGCCCAAAACCCAGACATGTGCCCTTGACCAGGATCGAACTTGGCACCCTTCAGTCCGTAGGCCGACGCTCTATCTGCTGAGCCAGACGGCGAGGGCCCGAGGGGAGACTTTACTGTATGGAACCCACAAAGCTGTCCCTAGGACCACGCCATCCTCCAGAAGTGGCTGCATGGAGCACCTATTACTAAGGAGCACCGAGGTGCCACTTCCTACCTCTAAAGTAGGGGTGTCGAACTCAATCAGAGAAGGGGCCAAAATCTAAAATCCAGCCTAAATCGCGGGCCGAATGGTTTACTGAACAATCATAAACTGTCATTGTGATGGAAACGCAGTGGAGTGCAGTGATGACAGCGCGGTGCGGGCCACATTGCAAGGCCTGGCGGGACGGATTTGGCCCGCGGGCCTTGTGTTTGACACATGTGCTCTAAAGCCTTAACCACGCAATCACACGCTCTTTTTACAGAGCTGATTTCTCTGGAGGGCTCACAAGCACGGTGGGAATTAGCTCATTACATCTCACAACATTTCTCCCCGAACGGAAGGGGCAAGGCTGCACTTCATTGACAGGAACCGGGGCAGAGGGGGCGGCTGTGGCTCTGGGCAGGCGGGTCAGCTGGAGGATGAAGACTAGAACAGAACAGCTCCCGCCTCCAGGAGGGCGCTGCTGACGGCTGCCAGCCTGCGATGCAGCTACCCTCCCAGCTGGCAAGTAGGCACGAGAGAGAACATGTTTGTGGTGTTCCCGCTGTGTTGGTGACACACCATTTACCCTGTGGTTATCCAGGGGGGAAAACCTTCTCTGGGGAGTGTCCGTACATGAACAGAGAACCAAATCAGAGCCAACATGTGAAGCCTTAACCCGCTTGCCTGGCTTCTCACCGGTGCCTCCCAGATCACTGGGCTTGGTAGCTGAGTTGCTCTGGGCTGGATGGTGAGTGGAGTCGGCATTTTCCACTCTTTGGATAATTATAGCTTTACCAATATCTAAATCTTCATCCTTAGTACATCCCACTCCTGTCGTAAACAAATGCTGGGACTTTCCACTGTTATCGTATAAACCCGCCCTAATACCTTGAGAATTATTTTGCCCCTTTCACAAAGTCACATCAGCCATGAAAATACACATTTGATGCTAACCCAGTCAAGTCTCTTTTCCACCAAAGTAGCTATTTAAAAAAAAAGCTTCATATATTGTTTCAATCAATCTCCCTTAGATACTTCAAAATTCGTTTCTAAAAACCTCTAGGTCAGTTTCACCTAAAGATATCTTAGCCACGGACAGAATTCCCACTCACCCTGCAACACAACAGATTTAGTTAGTATTGCCACTAAGAGGAGAGGGACATGGGCCCTGGGCTGGCCTCCAGGATAATGGATGCACCAGGCAGTGGCTGTGAACCTGTTAGTTTTCTTTTTCAGTTTTATAAAAATTATGAAAACGACCATTTGTTGCAGGTTTCCGATTGTGCATTTTACATATATTGGCCTACAGACGACCCACAAGGTGGATCCATGTGACATGTGAGGAAAGGAAGCACCTGGCCGGAGGCTAACAAGCCAGACAGTGCCTGAAGCCTAAGGGGACTGCCAGTGAACCTGAGTTCTGGAGTCAGACTCCATCACCCTGCCCCGACCACCCCCTTCCCAGCAGGTTGGGGAGCTCCGCTCCCAGCAGCGTGCCCATTGCATCGGCGGGACGGCGGCCAGCGAGCTGGGCGGTGCGGCCGCGCCCCTCCCGGTGAACCCGGGCGCTGTCCCCGCGCCCCGCCTTTGGCAGATGCGGGATAAACAAGCCAAAGTCCGGCCCTCTGGGAGCGAGGCAGGCCGAGTCTTGCCCTGTTTGGCCTCAGAGGAGGATCTGTTCTAAGGAGGGACAGAGTTGTGGGCGCCGCTTCCTGCAGTGTCTGCACGTGTGTGCGCCCCTCACACGTGTCGTGGCCTGAGGGACTCCCAGGGAGAGCTTGTATGTCCACGAAGGTGGTTTTCCCACGGGTGTCCTCGGCGCCCATGCAGAGGAGCTTGGTTTCTGTTTCCGGTCCCTACGATAAGGATGGAGGTCCTGCAGAGGAGCAGCCTTGCAGAGCTCAGTGCTGAGGGCTTTGGGGAGTCTCTGGTCCAAGCCCTTGAAGGAGGGAACAGGCTCCAGGGAGGCGACTGGACTCTCCCAAGGTCACAGCTAATGCAAACGCCAGGGGGAGGACAACAGACGGTCCCCCAGCCCTTGGCTCGGAGCTGGGCCCTGCTCTCCCCCTCACCTCACCCCGCCCCGGCCTCAGGAATGCTCCCGCCACGCCCGCACCAGACAGGGATCCGTGAGGAACCCGACACCCCCTTCGGCGGCGGCCCAGGCTGCTCGGGCTCCAGCTCGGGCCACCCCTAGGGGAAGGGCAGCCGCCACCCCCGCCCTGCCCTCAGCCAACCTCTGGGTCCCGAGGCAGGAGGAGTGAGAGTTCCACTCCGTGTCCCGGCCCCACGACCCCGGGCAGCGCCCGGTACAAAAGGCCCGCCCCGCCCCGCCCCGCCATCCCCGCAGCGGCCGCACGTGCTGCGCCTCGTGCACGGACTCGGGCCCCGCCCCCGCCCCCCATTGGCTGCTCCTCCACTTCCTCCTCCCCGAGCGACAGGCCTCGGCTGGGGCTCCACGTGACCTGCGGGGGCCGGGCCTCGCGGCCCGAATCGGCTTTGTCATAGGCCCTCCCGGCCGCCCCCAGCCCCGCCTCCCTTCCGTGTCGGGTCGCGAAGGCGGCGAGACTGGGATGAGAGGGAAAAGAGAGCGGTCGCGATGGTCTGGGAGGAGACTGGGGGCTGTGAAGAGGAAGGCGAAGGTGAAACCTCCGGCAGAAGCGAAGGAGCTGCCGCCGAAGGAGGCCTACGGCACCGACTCCGGCCGGCGCCCATCAGGTGACCGGGGGGCGGGGCGGGGCCTCTGGCGTTGCTCCTCACCTGGCCCCGCACGTGTCTCCCTCACCCTGTCCGCCGGACCAATCCCGGCTCAGGAGGCTGCTCCCGCCCTCCTCGCCGGGCGGGCCAATCCGAGGCCACGATCTGGGGACGCTGGCCTGGCCTCATGAATAATGAATAGCCCAGAGCTCGTCCCCTGGCGGGGAAGGGATGGAGGGAGGCGGGGGAGCGGCGGGGCGCCTGCGCAGTAGCTCCCGTGCTGGCAGCTGCGGCGGGTCGCACGGCTCCGGCCTTCCTCGGGGGGCGGGCGGGGGAGGCGCGGCGCGCGAGCGGGTGCGGAGCACGATGTCCGACACGGGCGGCGGGAAGAAGCCGCCTGTGGAGCCGCAGGCGGGGCCGGGCCCGGGGCCGGGGCGCGCAGCCGGGGACAGGGGCCTGCCGGGCTCCTTCCCGCTGGTGCTGAGGAAGCTGATGGAGAACCCCCCGCGCGAGGCGCGCCTCGGTGAGGGCGGGGGTCCGCGGCCCGGGGGCGGGGTCTCGCGGGGGCGGGGCCTGGCGAGGGCGGGGCCGGGAGGCCGGAGGTCTGGGCGCCGCGTCCCCGCCCGCTGCGGGGCGCGGGGCCGGGGATGGCGGAGGGCCTGGTGGGCGAGGCGGGAAGGCGGGACCAGGTCGGGGGATTGGGAGAGGCTGGGTCCCATGGGTGCTGGCGGAAAAAGGGTCCAGAAGGAGAAGAGGGGGCACTGAAGTCCTCGGGGGCAGGCTGAGCGGGCGCTAGGTGCCGGGGTTCGGAGCAGGCTGCAGCGGGTCGCAGCGGCCCCTTAGGGCGCCTTCTCGGGGTGCTTGTTCAGAATGCCGGTTCCTGGGCGCCACCCATCACCCACCGAATCCGCAGCTCCCGGGCCAGGAGCCTGCACCCTCAGGAGCACCCCACCTCCGTGGCTCCCAAGTGCACTGAAGTTTGAGGAGCGCTGATCTGCATGGCAGGTTGTCCTCAGCGTGTGGCTTTGCCCCCTCCCGGGAGGAGGGCCTGTCTCCTCCCCGCTCCCAGGCGCACACTGGATGGAGGTGTTCTGGAAGTGTGTCTCGGCTGCTTCCCAGGTGGGGGAGGGGTGCCAGGAGAAGGGATGCCAAGGCACCTTCTCAGGTGGAGAGGGGAGGGGGGGGGCCGAGGCAGGTGAAGGATGAAGATCAGAATGAGGCCCCTCACCTGGTGGTTGGGGGTTGACCCTGGACTTGGGGCCACAGCGGCAGAGCTGAGCTTCATCCTGTTCCCCAGGCCACACCGGTCCCTGAGGCCTCTGGAGAGCAGGTTTGGCCTTGTTTTTCTGGCCTGGGAACGTGAGGTTCGGGGAGCAGCAGAGCACCACCTATTGTGGCTTCAGGTGGAGGTTTCCATCTGAGACCTTGGAACCTCCAGGACCATGGGTGTAGCGCAGGGGTCTGAGGTGGAATAGGCCTTCTGTGGATGACCTGTCTTGGGGGATTAATTTCTCTTTTAAAATGCCATCTCCCTTTCCCGGGTGTGTGCCGAGGCTCCCATTCCCATGGCTTGTCTCCATTGGGTTATAAATAGCTTCGGCATATCAGGTGAGACCAGGCACTCTCCTCCTGCGTGGGGACCTCATGTGCAGCGACCCTCTGCTTTGAAGGCGGTGCTTTGTTCCAGTCTGGGGCTGAGGCGAGCTGCTGGGACAGGTACGCACGGCTGTTAGGTTCTTGTTCCAGATCGCCAAGTAAGAGCCGTCTGTAGCAGTGATTCTACTTGATGTTAGCAGAATGCTCAGAGCACTTTGACAGGAGTCCTGTTTTATTTAGTCTTCCTCTGCGGTCCTACAGAGTAGGATCCCCACTTCCCAGGTGAGGGAAGTTGAAGCTCAGAAAAGAAGGGGGATACTTCTTCAAGGTCACATACTTCTTACAACTCTCAGTCTGGTGCTGTTTACTGTATCACCGGCAACCACGAATGCCAATCCCTGTGGCCCGAGTGATGGGCCTAATTTTTTATCATCTCTTACAATTAAAACTCTCTTTTCTAAAAATATTGGTTTAAAATATCCTTAACTGCTTAGGCCAGGCATAACCTGGAACTTACTGTTACTTGTCCTTCAGTGTGGCCGTTTTTCTGTCTCCTTCCTTCTCCTGTCTCCTTTGACCCCCATGACCCTACCCAACGTGGATCTGAACAGAATGCAGGTCAAGTTCTCCGGGAGCCGAACAGCGAGGCCATCTGGCCCACCCAGCCCACCACAGCTTGGCTTGCTTTCTTCCCATTTGGTTTTCAACCAAAGCCTGGTACAGAAAATGGTTGCCAGCATTCAGGTTAATTTGTCTTAGAAGCCATTACCAAATTCTGTTTGTCAAACCTCCACCTTCTTAACCCACTGGTGTGTCCATCTTTATTGGACCAATAGGTTTTTTGGCCGGCTGAGGTCTGTGAGTTCATGCATGACTGGTTTATTTCACCATAATTATATTTGATTTCTCTTTTTCACTTCAGAATCCAGAGTTCAAAGCTGTCTCCCTCGATTTGAAAACCCAGTATGAATTTGTCATGATTTTATCTCCCACTTTGCCGATTAGCCTCCCTGTCACTTTGATTTCCTTTCAACCTTGTCACATTTCTCTCTCGTCTTTTTTTCCTCATTTGCTCTTTCTTTAATGTCTACACAGGTAATTTTTGACTGAGACAATTTAGGTGAGATTCAGTCCCTGCTCATTTATTAGTTTTGCTTTGAATGGGAGCAAGCTTTCTTCTTAAGTTCTGCCTTCTTCCCTGAAAACTTGCCTTCAGTCTTCTCTGCTTACTCAGGGATAAACTTTTCTTGAAATTGTTGCTCTGTAAAGGTTCTGAAAAGACAGCTCCAGCACTCTTCATTCAGTATGCAAGTTTTCCCACAGGCCACGGTCAGCCTGTTCCTTTGTTGGCCCTGAAATCTAGAAATGAATCAGACACAGAATCAAAGAGCTCACTGTAGTAATGAATACTTGTCATTTGCCAGGAACTATATAAGACACTTGCATATGTTGTCTCTAGTCTACACCAAAGAGAAAGCTTTATTCTTACTTACAACTAGGGGCCCAGTGCACAAATTTATGTACCTTGAAAGGACTTCATGTGCTCTCTGGGGACTGCGAGGCTGCCGTGGGCACAGGGGGCGGTCTCAGCCCATTCTCAGTGCCCCTGCCTGGCACCTCCTACCATAGCTCCTGGTCCCCTTTGCCAGGAGCCTCACTCCTGCTGCCATCACTACCATATGCTGACAACACTGGCCCTGCTCATACCTGCTGACAGCACGGAGTAATTGGGCTGGCGCTGCCATCAGCAGGTATGAGTGGCGGCTGCTGCCCCAATCGCCCCTCAGGAGCAGGGGGAAGTGGAGAAGACGTCAGGGGTGATCAGGGCCTGGAGCTGCTGCTTGCACCCACTGATGGCGCCAAGCAATAGGCATCGGGCGCCAACAGCAGGTGTGAGTGACGGCTGCCGGCCCGATCACCGATCACCCCTCAGGAGCAGGGAGAGGTGGAGAAGCCCTGAGGGGTGATCGGGGCCGGCAGCCACCATTCGTATCCACTGACAGTGCTGAGTGATCGGGGCTGGTGCTGGGCGCCGGCAGCGGGTGCAAGTGGCAGCTCCAGCACCGGCAACTGGTGTAAGTGGGGCCGGGGCCTGCAGCAGGTGCGAGCACCAGGTGGGACTGTGGTGCGTGGGAACAAAGAATTTTCAGTAACCACCTGAGGCTTGCCCCGATGACAGGATGACAGCGACCAGCACCTCGCCTTGGTCTGGCACCCCCGCTCATCTGCTCCACCATCCCACTGTGGCAAACACCCACCATGTTCCACACTCTGCCTCCTGCTGCCAATGCCCACCATGGTTCGCATGCACCTCCAGGTGGTCAGCACATGTCATAGTGACCAGTTGTTTGGTTATTCAGTTCTGCAATTTGGTCTATTTGCATATTGGAGTTTTATATCTTTTTTTTTTAATATATTTTATTGATTTTTTTCAGAAAGCATGAGAGGGATAGAGAGCTAGAAACATCGATGAGAGAGAATCATCGATCGGCTGCCTCTTGCACACCCCCCAGTGGGGATGTGCCCACAACCAAGGTACATGCCCTTGACCGGAATCGAACCTGGGACCTCTCAGTCCGCAGACCGATGCTCTACCACTGAGCCAAACCGGTTTCGGCTGGAATTTTATATCTATAGATGGATGGCACAGAGGCTGGGAGAGGTTAAATACATACTGTATTTTCCAGCGTATAAGACGACCCCCCAATTTTACAGTTAAAACATAAGTTTAGGCCTATATTCGCTGTATAAGACTACCCCCACTTCAAAGAAAAGACTTACTTTGCCATCAAGATCTGCAGGTAATTTTTGTGCAATTTTGGTCTTTTGCCCCCGATTTTCGGTTGACTTTTTTCCGTTTCAAAAGTCGTCTTATGCGCCGTAGCTAAGGTAACACACCACAGCAACTGATCGGCAGAACTGGGATTCGAGCCCTGGGCTCAGTTGCTACGGAGAAGCATATCTGGTAGGGACAGGACAGGAGAAACACAAGTTCTTGGCCTGAGGAATCACCTTTCCTACCACGGGGATAAGATAGCAGGAAGATTCAGAAATTCCATTTCCTTGTGGCCTCTCTTTTCCAAATGCTAATTCCACAGCCATTCTGAAGAAACCACATTAAGCCTTAGAGCTTGTGGTGAGCATTCTGGGGAGCCCAAGCATGGATAAGGATGTGCTGCCATCTCTGAAGGCGGCCAGTGGGCCTGGGTCAAGCACCAGGTTGTAATGAGAACACAGTGGGCTCTTGAAATGCATGGGATGGATCAGGACTCGAGAGCGGGGCCAGCCCTGTGAGGCCCACTGCTCCCCTCTTGGGATTGAATTACCCTCTCGTGTGGAGTGTCATCACAGATTTTGTGTCTGCAGATAAGGAGAAGGGGAAGGAAAAGCTGGAGGAAGACGAGGCCGCGGCAGCCAGCACCATGGCCGTCTCAGCCTCCCTCATGCCGCCCATCTGGGACAAGACCATCCCGTATGACGGCGAGTCCTTCCATCTGGAGTACATGGACCTGGACGAGTTCCTGCTGGAGAACGGCATCCCCGCCAGCCCCACCCACCTGGCCCAGAACCTGCTGCTGCCGGTGGCGGAGCTGGAAGGAAAGGAATCGGCCAGCTCTTCCGCTGCGTCCCCGCCATCCTCTTCCAGCGCCATCTTTCAGCCCTCGGAAACCGTGTCCAGCACAGGTGGGTGGCGAGCCTGTGGGCAGGGCACCTGTCCTATCTGAGGAAGTCCAGTTCCCACTGGGCTCCTGGTGTCTCCACACCCACTGAGCCCCTTCTCCCAGGGAGTCCTGAGAGAAACGCTGTGCTCCCCACCCTTCTGCACGGTCCCCAAGGTAAAGAACACATGGCAGTCACATCAGTCTTGGCGGATGGTGTGCTGCAAGTGGTCAGGCCTGGAGCAAGGTCTTCAGTCTGAGGCTTTGCAGGATAGAAACCCCATCTGCCTTTTGTCAGAGCAGCTCTTTACCCCCCACTCCCCACCCATGCACCTTGCCACAGGTTATTGGGAAGCTTGGGCAATGATAATAATAATACCAGCTAACGTTTATTTAGCACTTCCTCTGTGCCAGGCAGTAATATGTAACCCTCACAACAACCTCATCAAGTTGATAATATTATCTGTGTGTTGTAGGTGAGAAACTGAGAAGTTAAGTAACTTGCCCAAGGTCACACAGCTGGTAGGTAGTAGAGGCAGCACTTGAACCCAGGATATCTGACTCCATAGACTCCTTTGTGCTTAGGAACAGGCACAAAGAAGGCATCATTTCAGGATTTCTCCTCAGTCCTCTTGTCCTTTTTCTGTTTTACCTCTGGGGTTTGGTTATTTGGTTTTCGTGCCCCTGGGACATGAACCCTCCAGAGGACCAGTGACCCCTGTTTCAGGCGTCTCTGCAAAGCTTCCTGTAGGGGCGGTCAGAGGCATGTAAGCTGGTGGCTCCTGGAAGGACCCCCGGCACTGGTATGGGTCCCAGGGAACGCACACCCAAAGAATTCTCTTGTTCTGTTCTTAAAATTATTTTAATCATCACTGAGGATATGTTTTTATTGATTTTTTTAGAGAGAGAGGAAGCGGGGGGGGGGGGGGGGGGGGAGAGAAACATTGATGTCAGAGAGAAACATTGATTGGTTGCCTTCCATACATGCCCTGATCAGGAATTGAGCCCACAACCTTTTGGTGTACAGGATAGTGCTCCAACTGAGTAGTACTCACGCTCTGTTTTGTTTTGTTTTAATTTTACTTTTCATTATGGTCAAATTTTCAAATACAAAAGTAAAAGACTACTCTAATGAACATCCATGTAATCATCACTCTCAACTTCCATATTCTTAATTTATAACTGATCTTGTTTTCTGTAACCTCTTCCATTCCCCTCACTTAATTATTTACAATCAAATCCTAGATATCATTTCAGCCATAAATTTTTTAATAACTATATAAAATACAAGGGTTCTTTTTAAAAAATAACAAAAACAACAACAAAGTAACAAAAACACCAATTTTACATCTGAACTTGACAATAAATTCATCAGCATTCAAATTTTGAAAAAGCTATCTCAAATGCTATTATTGTTTTACAGTTTGTTTGAATCAGAATCCAAACAAGACCCACACATTCCATTTAGTTATGCCTCTTAAATCTCTAGTAATCTATAGCGTCCCATCTCCTTTTTATTTTTTTTTCTTTGATATTTGTTGAAGAAATGGAATCATTGATCTTGTAGAGTTTAGCACATGCTATTTTTTTCTGACTATATCCCCGTGGTCCCATTTATCATGTTTTTCCCCCTGTAAACGGGTTAGAAGCTTCAGCTGATTTCAGCCAAATTCTCGTTGAGGGCAGATTGTTTTTGTGCTGGTTGGGTTGTCCTAGAGGGCTGGGTTCATGTGTGGGTAGGAAGCAAAGGTGAAAATGAGCCCCATCTTGTACCTTGGACCCCCTATGTAACATTTTCCTTTGACTTTGTTTTTAAGTAAATATTCTTAAATATGGTGCACAAAAGTGCCCACATCGTAAGTAAACATCTCAGTGAAAAAATCTTCACAAAGTGAACCCTCCCATGAGACTCCCACCCAGAATAATATTGTTGTTCCCAAAGTGCCTTGTGACCCCACTCAGTCAGTACTCCCCAGAGGTGACACTGTCTGTATTCCATCACTAAAGATTCCTTTTCCTTGTTACTGAACATTCTATAAATGGAATTGTATATTATGTCCTCTTTTTTGTTTTCAACTATAATACATTGATTACATTTATACTTGCTTATATGTATAGCTTTCTTTAGCTAGCTTTATAGTATACACATAAATTATGTGGGCACCAAAATCTCCTCACACTAACAACATAGATTTACAGAACATGCTTATGGAACACTCCTATGACAGAGAAAAACCACAATACAGATAAGAAATGAAGGCAGAATCTCCCCTCTTCATTTTTCAGTTCCTTCTATAGGAAATATGTAAGTCATGTGCATTCTTTTGTTTAGCTTCATTCCTCAACTTTGTTTATGAGGACCATTCATGTTGCCTATAGCAGAGCTTGTTCATTTTCATTGCTGTATTTCGTTGGAAGTGGTATTCCGTTGTATGATGATACCATGTGTTTCCATTCTACATGATGGGCATTTGAGGCGCTTCTGGTTAGGGGGTATGCATAGCAATGCCATGAACGTTTGTATACATGTCATTTGATAAATATATGTGGGCATTCGAATAGTCATTTGCCTAGGAGTAGAGTGGCTGGGACGTTGGACATATGCATATATTCAGCTCTTACAGATACTACCAAGTAATGTACAATGTGTATGTTTTTATTGATTTCAGAGATGGCGAGAGAGATAGACACATCAATGATGAGAAAAAAATCATTGATCAGCTGCCTCCTGCACACATCCCACTGGGGATTGAGCCCACAACCTGGGATGTGCCCTTACTGGTATTCGAACCATGACCTCCTGGTTCATAGGTCAATCACTGACCCACACTGGCTGGGCGGTCTATTTTTTAAAAAAAACACTAACTTTATCTCTAACAATCATTGAATTAAGTGCCTTAAATCCAATGTCCACTATAAAATGGCAGCCAGGCAGAACAGAGAAGAATGATTTGGAATCAGCCAGAATCAGACTCAGATTTTAGTTTAGTCTCTTATCTTCTGTGTGACCGTGGGAAAACCATGTCCTTTCCCTGAGCCTTAGTTTTCTCATCTGTAAAATGAGGTTAACACCCATTGTGCTTTCGGAGTTGTAAGACTAACTGAGCACTGTGGTGATCTGTCTCTAGGGAGTCCATTGTGGAAGCTGTTTCATTATTCAGTCTGTCCCCAACCCATCATGGTTCACCGAGGTTCAGCTGTTTCTCATTACTTCGGAGCTTGAAACCACAGGGAGTTAAGGAGGATAATGATTTCATGGTTTGCTTAATATTTCAGGGCGTTGAGGGGGGCTGAGAACCCTGTCTTTTTTAAGGGCCTCAGTTTCCTTTTGAATATTTTATTCCTAACGGGAAGTATTTTTTCTCTGTTTGTGTTACTGATTTGAATCCCATTTGCCAGTCTAGCTTGGGGGTTGGTCCCCCCAAGTAGCAGTGGCTGTGCAACATTGAGCTTCAAGCAGGTACCTGGCCGTGTGACATGGGTCTTTGCTGTCCAGTGGCTGCCTCAGGACCACCTGCCTCTGTCTTTCAGAATCCTCCCTGGAAAAGGAGAGGGAGACACCCAGTCCCATCGACCCCAGCTGTGTGGAGGTGGACGTGAACTTCAACCCTGACCCTGCCGACCTGGTCCTTTCCAGTGTGCCCGGCGGCGAGCTCTTCAACCCTCGGAAGCACAAGTTTGCAGAGGAGGACCTGAAGCCCCAGCCCATGATCAAGAAGGCCAAGAAGGTCTTCGTGCCTGACGAGCAGAAGGTAACCTGGTGTCTGTGTGAGGGAAGGTAGCGCGCTGGTTCAGGAGCCGAGGGCTCCTCTTCCTCAGTGATTTTATCTGGAGGTTCCGCCCACCTATGGACACCGTTCAGGAAGGCCTGAGCTCAGGCACAGCGCCGTGAGCTCCCTGCAGCAGCTGGTAGAGAGAAAGGGAGTCCGGTCGCATTTGGCCCCGGCGTGACTCCCTGTGGCTTCTGTTTCCGTGCTGGCGTGGCTGTGTTGATGTTCTTGCTTCCCTGGCTGTAGCCCAGCCTTGGGCAAGCGCTCACCAGGCCACAGGAACTGGGCTGAACAAGCCCTCACTGGGGAGGACAAAAGACAGTTGTATGTCACCACCCCAGGGACGAGCAAACCGCTTTCAAGCTGATGGTTTTATAGGCGTTGGGGTGGGCAGGGAGAGGAAGATTCTGTCGTTTTTCCATCCTCTCCTCTGGAAAGGTCACAGGAAGAGCTTTTCATCCAAGCTTTGGAGTTAGGCAGAGCTGGGTCCAGACCCCACTTTGCCACCTAGCACTACCTGGGTCACAGGTTCCTCGTTTGTGAAATGGGAACTGCACCTGCCCCTCGGGAGGTTTCTGAGGCTTTCGTCATAATGATGAGGAAAACGTGAACTTTATGTGACCTTACTTTATGCGATCCTTGGGCACCTTGCACATGCTAACTCGTTTAATCCTAAACAGCTCTGTGAGGTAGTCATTGTCAGCCCCGTTGTAAAGATGAGGGACTGAGACAGTGAGAGGTTAAGGAAGTCACATGATTCCGCTACTAAGGGACAGAGCCAAGAGCTGACCTCAGGAGACTGGACCTTCGCCATAAGCGGAATGACTGGGCAGCAGGTGTAGATGGTGCTTTATGTTGGAGCGGCAGAGCAGGCTCCCGGTATGTGGAGTCCCCTTCCCTCCACCGCCTCCTCCCCGATGGCTTTGTTTCCCATCCTGGGGGAGGGAGGGCCCCTTGCTGTCCTTGGCACATGCATCTTCTGCCCTGGGCCCCGCTCTCGTCCTGCCTGCACCAGATGAGTGATAAGAGGAGTCGGGTGTGGAGAGCTGGCAGGAGGAGAGAGGCTCTTAAACCAGTGCTGTGCTTGCCCCTGTGGGGAGAGAGGAAAGACTAACAGGACACTTCCCACAGGATGAGAAGTACTGGACAAGACGCAAGAAGAACAACGTGGCTGCCAAGCGGTCCCGGGACGCACGGCGCCTGAAGGAGAACCAGATCACCATCCGGGCAGCCTTTCTGGAGAAGGAGAACACGGCCCTGCGGACGGAGGTGGCCGAGCTGCGCAAGGAGGTGGGCAAGTGCAAGACCATCGTGTCCAAGTATGAGACCAAGTACGGGCCCTTGTAACTCATGGCCTCGCCCAGGCCGCGCTGCCTGCACCCCAGCCTCTGCCTGAGGGCTCCCTGAAACCCCACCATGTGGAGACTGAGGACTCCTCGCCGGCCAGTGGCGGCGCACCTGCTCCAGGAGTGGTCATGTTCAAGCTTCATTATCATGTGGCCAGCGCACGTGGCAACTTCCCCAGGGAACCAGCCTTCTCACCGGGGAGGCCGCGAGGGAATCGACGTAGACGGGTGCGTCAGCCTTAGTTTCTGTTCTGGAATGTCCCAATTGGATCAGAAGGGGACCTTGGAGCACAGCTCTCCTTTCCCAGGGCGCTCAGCCGTCCTGACTCCCTCAGTCTCCGCAGAATGAGTCCATCGCTGTCGCGTCTTCTCAGGTAGCAGGGTGTTTCCAGGTGGACTGTCTGTGGTCCACCTCACCCCAGAAAGTTTGAGAGAAGCATCCGTTTCCATCTCCCTCAGCGGTAGAAAGACACCTGCTCCTCCATAGTGTCTGCATGGGTGCCAGGCCGCCCGAGCGGGTTTGGGTCTACAGCCTGGGATGGGGTTGGGTCTGGAGCCGGCAGCAGAAGTGGCTCCCACACCCCTTTGCTTTGTGGCTCCGAGGCCTGGCTGGAGGAGGCGCTGGCTGGAGGTTGTCTCTGTTCGTCTGCTGAGAAGGAGACTCCCAGGACGGCCAGACTGCGCCCTGATCACAGAGCTGGGAGGGGCTTTGCATCTCCTCTCCGGTCACTTGTGGATACCGCCCGAATCTCGTCCGTCCTTCTAGACCGGGCCTCTGGCCTGTTTCTCTTCACCCAGTGATCAATCTCACATCTTGGATTTAAAAGGAAAACCCCCTCCTCTACGAAGCTTCATTTCCTGGAGGCAGGCTGCACCTGCATGGTGTTCAGAAAACCAGCCTCCGCAGCCCCTTGCACTGCGGGCAGGGAGCTGGGCCCTGTGTCTCCATTTTGTCTTGCTCTGCTCTCCGGTGTGGGCCAGGCCAGAGGAAAGCAGAAGAGGGCTTCCCAGTTCTTGATTCAAGATCCCTCCCCTGTGCGAGCTGCCCAGAGCCACCCGCTGGGCAGGACAGCCAGCCAGGGTCACAGCACAACTCACGGGACAGCCGGTTCTCCGGACGCTGATCCACCGTCCCCTCAGGCTGGGTCCTGACGGTGTGGGCCCCACACCAGCCTGGCCGTACACTGGAGGGTCCGTGCAGCTGTGGCTTCACTGCCTCACAGCTGTTTTCTCTTGTGTCTGGCTGGACCGCCGTCCTGCCCCGGGAGGCGCGGTGAGGAAATCCGGAATGCTCTGTTCATTGTGGCCAGGCAGCCTGTGGTTCAGAGGGGTCAGAGGTGATGGGTACACTTTGTCACGTTTACCACTGGCTTTGTTTAAAGTGGTAGCTCCAGGACCCGGGCTCTGACCCCTAAAGACTTTATGACGTGTTAGGATCTGGGGACACCATCCACTGGCCGCGGACTGCGCCCAGGGGACCGCCATGGTCCTCCGGGACCTGCAGACCCGCCTCTCCTGGGGACTTGACCAGGTGCCTGCGGCCAGGGGAGGTCCCGGACTCCCTCCAGGCCCCTGTCATTGGTGGTTCTATAAAAACCATGTTCACACTTTCCACTCTATTGTAACCACAACAGGGCAGTTGCATCCAGCATGTCAGTGTCCTGCCCTGGGCAGCTCGCCCGCCCGGGCACTCTCCCTCTGGTCTGGCGACCCACCAAGAGGGCAGTTCTCATTTTGTTGTAAGTAGGAGAGCTTCCAGTGTAAAAGCTCTTCGTTTTCTTTGGCCAGAAAGTGTATGGTTTGTGTTTTTATTTTTCTAAAGAATGGAGACTTAATCTCTGAATGGTGTCCGTGTTCTGACCCCATGGGTGGGATAATGGCCTGGCCTCTCCTCTTGGTCCCGTCTCCTGCCTGTTCAGCCCTCCCCTCCTTCCCCCAGGCAGCGGGCGGTGGTTCCTTCCGAAGTGCTTACTTGGAAAGAATGTGGCTGCTGGCCTCTTCAGGAGAGCCCTCTGAGCCGGGCCTGGGAGATGTCCAGGAGGGTGGACACCTTGGGGAAAGGGGTGCTCAGGGAAGCGCGTCTCCTTCCCAGGCCCAAGGTCGAGTCCTTTCAGGAGAGGGTTGGTGCCTGCTTGTCTTCATCATGGAATCAGGCGTCTCCTTGCCTCCCTCCTGGCCCCTCTCCGTCGTGGGGCTGAGGCCAAAGACTGAGGCTCCTTTGCTCAGACCTTGGACATCTGAAAAGCACCGAGGCCAGGGGAGCCAGTGTGATGGCTCTCCACGGGGGTGCCGGGCTGGGAGGCACCGCCCTTCCTCGGCGCCCTGTCTTTCCTGGCAGCTTTGTTGCAACCTCAGAACAGACAAATCATGAATGAGCTAGAATGTTGCAAGAATGTAATAAATGTATATCTAGATAGAGAAATATGTCTACTGAGAGGACTTCCACCACGGCTGCTGCCGTGTGGGAGGGCCTGGGTAACCATTACCGTGGCCAAAGGCAGGTGTGCCTGCCTGGGTCCCGAGCTGGGAGAAGGCCCTCGGCAGTGAACTTGGTGAGTGTCAGCCTGCTGGGCGGCCGCAGTCCACCCCGAGGCGGGGTGCAGGCCTGGGGGCCAGCCGAGGGAGCCCCTCTGTACTGGGCAGCTCCCTGCCGGGCCCGGAGCTCATGGAACACTGAGGGCCAGGGGCTCCTTTAACATCTGTTAATTAAGTGCAATAAATTTTTCTAGAAAACGGCGAAGATGACTTCCAGGTGGGTGTTGCTATTTTGTGGTGTTGGGGACGCCAGATGACCACTTGGTTTATTTTTCTAAGTGCATGTGACGTGACAGTGCGGGCTGTGCGGGCTCCAGGAGCCCCTTTGTTCTCTGTGCTGGGGAAGGAGGCGGAGGAAACCGCTCCTCCCCTCCGGCAGGCAGAGGCAGCCCCGGCCCGCTGCCTTATGTGCGGGTGTGCGTGCGCGTGTGTCACCGCGGGTGGCCCGAGTGATGTGACGGGGAGGGAGCCGGGAATGTAACCTTTTCAAAACAAAATTAAATATTTTGAGATGAGAATTGTGGGGCTGTCTTTTGTGTCCTCGCTCTGCCTCTCCTCTGTGTGTGCGTGGGCCTGGGCGTTGGAGGGTTTTCCCTGGCACCCCTGCACCACGAGCCAGGCACCCGTGGCCAAGTCACCGAACCGCTCTGGGCCTCAGTTTCCTCACCTGCCAGATGGCAGCAATCCCTGCCTACCTCACAGTTTACCGAGGAAGGACAACATCAGACCAGAAGCACTTTGAACAATGAAGTGCTGTACAACTGGTAGACAGGGAACGATGGATGGTAGCTACAGAGAAGACAAACAGAGAAAACTCCCTTCATTTCCTTTGTACTTCACTCGCCGCTGCTTCTCAGTTTCCTTTGCAGGACTCTTATTCTAATTTTTAATATTGGAGTGACATAGAGCTCAACCTTTGGTCTCTCCTCCCTTCTACAGTTACTCCATTGTTGACCATGAGAGTTGGGTCTCAGTTGGTGAGATTCTGGAGGTTTCTTCCTTTTGCCAGGTTTGTCTGTGGCCGTGAACTTCACAATTGAAAACCACGTTTGTGTGTGTGCGTGCAGCCACATGCAGGGGCCTGCGCTGCTGTTACCGATCCATTTGGCATCGGGGTCCCTGGGCCCCCGCTAAGGGCTGGCCAGGCCCCACAGGCCTTCATTAAGGGCGGGCGGAACAGGGTGCACACCGGTGGCAGTGCCCCTGCAAGTCCCCTCCCTCCAGCGCCACCATCTCCGTGCTGCTCGCTCTGCCGCCTCGTGTGAGCCCAGGTGTCCCTCCCTCAGCGCCGTCTGGAGGGGCCGCCTCTTCCAGCCACGGCTGTGCTGTCCCCCCGCCCCCACTCCACGCTGCATGGTGCTGGTGCTCAGACTTCCTGTTGCTTGAGGGGCCAGGAACCTAAGGAGGAAGGCATGTATTTGGAGTTTGGAGACGGGCTGGCAAGGTGGACTTTTATTATTTTTTAACCCTCATCTGAGGATGTGCTTTTTATTGATTTTAGAGGAAGAGAGAGGGAAACGTCGATGTGTGAGAGAAACATCGACCAGCTGCCTCCCGCACGCACCTCTGTCAGGGATCAAACCCACAACGTGGGTGGGTGGGTGTGTGCCCTGACTGGGAGTCGAACCCACAGCCTTTAGGTGTATGAGGTGTCACACCAACTACGCCACCCAGCCAGGACAGGGTGGGCTCTTAAATGGCCATTTTACAAATAAACATTGAGGCTCAGAAATCAGAGTAATATGCCCCCAATCACAGCTGCAGGACTAAAACTTACACCCAGAGTGGGTTCCAAGTCTTCAAATTGCAATTCCCAAGGCAGTAACAGCAGGCAGACTGCTCCCAGCCTGGGACGGGGGTGTCTCACACTCCACCTCACAGCTCACAGGGCCTCCAGCTGGGGCCTCCCTCTCATTCTCCCTCCTGAACCTGGAGCACCACTCCCTCCTTGTCTGAAGAACAGACCCAGCCTCCCAGGTGCTCAGCACGCGCAGCTGCCGTGGGGCAGGGGTTAGATGGTCCTGACCTTCCTGGAGGTGAGCCCTCAGACCCAGCAGCTGTGGGCCCAGCAGACAGGGGGTGCCGCCGGGTTCCAACCAGATGTGTGGCTGGTTTGGGGTGAGTCCCTCCACGCCCTGAGCTGTTTATCTTGGCTATGTGATGTGCTGCTCAGATATGTGAGTACCCAGCACAACTCAGCTCCTCTTGCCCCCGGCTCCCTGGAGCACAGATTTCCCAAGGCTAAGCACAGGCCCCTTCCTTGAATGTTCCTCACACACCTCCCGAGGCTGGGAGCTCCTGACGGCAGCTAGTCCGGGAAAGCTGCCAGCCAGGGGGGCGAGCAGCAAAGGAAATGAGAAACAGGTTTCAGGGCTGGTGCCCCCCGCCAGCCAGCCCCTCCTGCACTGTCCTCAGCTTCTCACTTCAGTGAGTCCTCCCACCACGCGGGCTGCCACCTGGGCCCCGGGGAGCAGGAGGCTTCACCGTGAGCAGTTACTCCGCCCGCGGGAGCTGGGGCTGCTCAGCACGCCAGGCTCGGCCCCCGAAGCTCTGAGTCTGCCGGTGTCTCCAGCTCGGGAGGGCCACCCACTCGGGCCTGGATTCCAGTCCGGACTCGGGCAGAAGGTGAGCAGGCTTGGTGCTGCTCCAGGCCATGCTGGTCCCGTGTGGGCTGCAGGGAAAGCGGAGGAAGAAGGGTCTCCGCCGTCCTCAGAGCCTGAGCTGGTGCACGTTCCCGCTGCTCTTCCGTGCCAGCCCCTCAGCACCCGAAGGCGGGCATCTCCGTTCCACAGAGGAAACTGAGGCTTCGTAAGGTCTTAGGTGACGTGCCCAAGATCTCACAGCCGCTGACTATCAGAGCTGGGATTCGAACCAGGCCTGATGGCTCCTAAGCCCGAGCTCGCTCTTCCACCTCAGCCATCTCCTGACCAAGGTGCTGGTGCTGCCTGGACCTGTCCCCCACCCTCCACTTTCCTTTGGCCAGCAGAGGTCAGCCAGCCAAAACAGCCAGATCAGTGCCAGCCTGGCATCTTCCACGGGCTGCCCAAGCCGCCCTGGCCAGCAGCCACAAGGCCCGGCCCTGCAGCGGGCGGTGGGCAGGAAAAGGCTGACATTGGTCCCACATGCTGGGACTGCGTTTGACAAATGTGGACGCAGGTTCAGAGGAGAAGTGTCTTCCCCAAGACCACACTGCTTCTGCACCCCGCCCTCCTGCCAACCTCCTCGGTCCCCACACAGCCCAGGACCCATCTTTCTCCTTTCCTCCCTCATGCCATTTCTCCTCTTGGGCGCAGGGTCAGAGGCTGTGGACAATAAAGACCTTAGACGTTACCACATCCAGCCCTGGACGGTGTGGCTCCGCGGATGGAGCATCAGCCTGGGGACCAAAGGTCTCGGGTTCGAGTCAAGGGCACGTACCTTGGCTGCAGGTTCCTCTCAGGCTGCTCGGGGCTGGTGCAAGAGGCAACCATCCAACCAACCGACGTGTTTCTCTCACATCGATGTTTCTCTCTGTCTTTCCCTCTCTCTTCTACTCTCCCTAAAAATCAGTGGAAAAATATCCTCAGGTGAGGATTAACAAAAATAAAAAAAATAAAAATACAATAGAAAATTAAAAAAAGAAAAGAAGTTATCACATCCAGGTCCTCACCCAAGGTCACACAGCCAAGTGAGACGTGTGCTAAGGGAGCCTGAATCCCCACTTCCCCACTCCCTGGAATCTCACTGAAGCCAGTGGCCCTTCGCTCAGGGAGGGCGTCAGCTGCTCCTGCTCCTGCTGGACCATTAACTGTTTGCAGAGACTTGAGCATACCTGGAAGCAGAAATCAGCCTCATCCTAGGCCTCATCTTCCACCTGCTGTGTGACTTTCTGCAAGCCGCATCCCTCTCCGAGCCCCTTCTTCTTCATCAGTGCCATGGAGACTGGGTGCCCTCCCCGCCTCTGTACCAGGCTGCTGTGCAGCGCACATGAGATGCTGCAGAGAAGCCCCTTATGAATTGCATGGGAATGAGACCATACCCCGGCCCAGCACATCTAGAACCCAAAGTGATGAAAGATACCTCACCCCATCCTTCCCCGACGTCACACACACACCAGACTTGCCAATGCCAGCAACCTTATTAGAAAAGCTGGCTGGAAGGTAGAGTGAGGTGAGCGGAGAGAGGATTTGGGGCTGAGACCAGCAGAGCCAGGCCCCTCGGGGCTGTTCCCCGGGGCTGAGTCCAGGCTGCTCTGACCTCTGCGTGTGGCAGGGCTGGGCCCTGCTCCCAACCCCAGAGCTGAGGGACTGCTGGACTGAGCTCACGTCTAAGCCTAGAGCCTGGCCGAGGCCCCTAGTGCGAGCCCCAGGGATGTGACCAGGGCAAGGGGAGGTGCCCAAAGCTGGGCGTCCTGAGCCAGGACCTGGGCCCTGGCCCCCAATGACTCACTGTGCTGCTGCTGCTGCTGCTTTTTTAAATTTATTTCCGAGAGGGAGGGAGAGAGACACATCAATGATGAGAGAGAACCTTTGGTCGGCTGCCTCCTGCACGCCCCACAATGGGGATTGAGCCCAGCAGCCGGGGTCTGTGCCCTGACAGGAACTGAACCGATACCTCCTGGTTCATAGGTCGATGCTCAGCCACTGAGCCGCGCCTTGCTCTGGGCCTAGTTTCCCCGTTTATCCTCCTCACGGCAGCCGTTTAAACTTTAAACCATCCACCCTGGCTGGTTTGGCTCAGCAGGCAGAGTATTGGCCTATAGGCCAAAGGGTTCCAGATTGTGGGCTTGATCCCCAGGAGAGGGCGTGCAGGAAGCAGCCGATCAATGATTCCCCCTCATCACTGATGTTTCTCTCTCTCTCTCCCCCTTCCTCTCTGAAATCAATAAAAATACATTTAAAATAAAGGTTAGCCAAAATCGGTTTGGCTCAGTGGATAGGGCGTCGACCTGCGGACTGAAAGGTCCCAGGTTCTATTCCGGTCAAGGGCATGTACCTTGGTTGCGGGCACATCCCTAGTGGGGGGTGTGCAGGAGGCAGCTGGTCGATGTATCTCTCTCATTGATGTTTTTAGCTCTCTATCCCTCTCCTTCCTCTCTGTGAAAAATCAATAAAAATATATTTTAAAAAATAGAGGGGGGGGCAATGTTAAAATATGTACACAGATAATAATTTAATTTTTAAATAAACAGTCAATTCTCATATATATATATATATATATATATATATATA